ACCCTGTAAATCACAACTTGACGCAGCTGGGAGAACATTTAATTTATGGGTAGCCTGTTTTAGGCACCATTAAAAATGCAAATACATAATTTGCTTGTCGCAAAGGCTGCTGCACAGTGGACTTCACTTCATCAAGCACATTAGGAAAGTTGTGCGACAATTTTTATTTAATTTTTTTTTCTTCCGTCGTCGCCTAATTTATATGCAGACTGTATTTTTTGTGACTTTAGCTTCATACAACAATCATATACAAATTGCCAGCAGGGAGTGTGGTGTTTTAGACTGCGCTGTGTGCGTTGATTAAATACTTTTGTCAGTGGTTCTTAAGTGACACTTAATGAGTGCAGTTTGAGGATGGCAATTTAGTGGGCGCGGTTAGCTTATGCACAGCAAGAACTAACTAACTAAAAACTAGAAAACTTGCTCTTGCCACGCAATCAACTTGAAATGCAATGAGTCCCGCACCATTGCGACTCTGGTCAGGCAGTTAGGGAACCACAATTTCACAAAACTCGTATATTTATACCCTGAACCAATTAAAAATGTTTAAAAAGGGTATGCTAATATTGTGCAAATGTAGGCAATAGGCTCTAGAGTTTGGAAATTCTAATATATGTGCTCGCTTACGAGCGCATATCAAGGTTATTTGAAGTTGTCGATAACTCTTTCGGGAATATCGATATGAATCGACTTTCGATAGCAAACAATTTTAAAGGAATATTCTTGCAATTAATACTAAATATTATTGATCAACTGCAGACACAAGAGAATTATCCCAAAATGAATCTCATATTGATCTCATTACTATCCGCCGGCGTAAGCATTTTCTGTAAATGCAATAATCCTGGTTTCAGGGTCTCTCGTAGTCGAGCTCACTCGAGTACAGCATTCTAGCTTGTTGTATTTTGCAGCTGTTGATAAAAGTGTCCTCTTAACAGCCGTCTGGTGGCGATTGGAATTGCTCTGTTGTCTTGTGGCATTGCCGCATTGTCGTTTGTCTGATGAGTTTTTAAGCACAAACAATAACAACGCACAAATGCAACAACTACAACAAGTGATATCCTCGAATCATGCTATCATGCTATAATGCACAGCTTTTCATTCGAGTCTGTGGCCATTTTAGTTGCGTAATTGTATTAAGTTCCATTTACAAATGCAAATGTTTTGGAATCTGTCCGACTGGTCTAATAATTTCGGCTAATTCCGAATTGGCATTTGTTTGCTGTGTCTGCCAAAATTTGTATATTGTATTTAATATGCAGCATGCATACAGAATTCAGTAAACTTTAATTGGAAATTGCTGCGAATTTGGCTTAAGTTAAAACCCAAAATAAACTTTCTACGGATTTTCAGCAAACTGAATGGAATCTATTTACTAATATTTAAATTTATTTTAATTTTGACATTTCACTTAGCTGATACCACTAAAGAAAATTGGAAATTTTCGGAAAATAATGAAAAAAATTGGATAAAATGTGTTGTCATTTGATAAATAGAAGGCTTGCTCGAGATTTTATATAATAGTTATTTATTAATGGTATCAATAATGAAAATTATTGAAAGACACACCATTAGAACATTGTTTACATCATTGGTAAAGTATTAATTTTTGCAAAGAGTGCTTATAAATAAAATAAACTATTGTCAAATAGTGTACATTTTATGGACGATATATAAATGTACTTCTACAAATTATAAGCTACTTAAAAGTCATAAATGTAGTGTAATAGTGTAAAAGTGTTTTTCCGACAAATCGAAACCAAACAGTCTGAACTGATTACAAATTCAGGTGTGCGGCCAGCTAAAGGCCTAATACGAAATGGCCTAAAACAAAACATGATTAAAAAGCCGCTTAGCATCAAAATGTTCATTTACCTTTGGGTGTGGCTGTAAGGATAAACGAAGGGACGAGAGCGAGGATAGCATCGAGGATAGCATCGATGACATGTGAAAGTTTGTGTCACATACTGCCGCTACTCATTAATTTAAAATTGGGTAACAACAACAAGAACAAGCTGTTGCAATGTTATTGCGGCTGCCTCATGACAATGCCCCACACACGAGACACGTGCGTGAAATGGCCCTGACACGATATTGAGCACTTTCAGCGCCGACTGACAGGCAGCGATTGCCGCAGATGCCGCTGATTGGCCAACCCAAACAGCCCCTAGCCAAAGCTTATGCATTAAATCACTAAAGCGTATGACAGGATTATGCTTACAGCCTTATATAAATCATTTCCGACTCTATGGCAACTCCATGCACGAGGCTCGCCTGGCTCACATTTCTGCGCTACATTATTGTGCACAGTGTTGAAAAAGTCGATCAAATCGTTTTCAAAACTAACCAAATTTAACATTCATTTCAATGCTTTTTGTTTTCCTATTTTCTTTTTTGTTTTGTATATGTACAGAACGACCGATTTAGAGCTGGGCTAATGACAGCCAAAACTTTTTGGGTGCATTGTCAACATTTGGTTAACTTTAAAATAATAATAAAAAAAAGGGCGCCCTAGCATATCCCCAGGCGCGCGCATTGTTGCCAGTGTTGCAAGCGCAGCACAAAAATGCCAGATAATCGCCAGCTAATACAATGAATGACCGCCCCCGGATGCGGATCCATTCGTATTGCCATTAAATTCAATTACATGACAATAACGTGGCGCTTATGGCGCTGCGGTCCACGAAAAATTGAATATAAAAATAAAGCTGCTGCTGATAAAAACTGCAAGCCAAAACTGAACTAAAGCTCCTGTGCCGCGTGCATAACTGAAAGACCCACAAAGGGACACAAAGGGAGAGAATGTGGGGCGAGTGTGCCACCAACTATCGGCGAGAAATTATGATTAGGTTTTGGTAAAGTTTTCGACACAGTCAGCAGCCACTTGAGAGCTGCCACACTATACACTTTGCGGCACCATTGCTATTCGAGCGTGGACAAGTCAAAGCATGCGGCATGCAGCATGCAACGTACTCACTTCGCAACAATAGAGTCTAAATTCTGCAACGTTTGCATTTCACTCTTCAGTCGAATGGTCCACTGCTCATTGTGTGTGCTGCTTTGTGTAATCGCTTCATAATGCGCCCCAAAATTATGATAATTTTCTCTTTTGAATGCAGCAGCTTTTTGGCTAACAAGTTGTTGGCTGCGACAATCTGTACAAAAAAAAAAGGCATAAACAGTGCTTCGTCTGTTCGCAGGTTTTAAGCGAATACCATTCAAAAACATTAAATTCAATTTAAGAATATTTATTGGGGAGCTTGGTTATTTTAACTATGTTCGTCTAAATTTGTTGTCATTTTAATGCTAATAACTTCTTAAAAGATTTCACTTCAAGCATGCGAGGAAGAATTCATATATTTTTGTTAACCATTTTAATTTTTTCACCAGCACTTTTATTTATACAATAAGGTTATTAATATACTTTTTGCGTAGGTGACTTAAAACAGAAACAACAATTTCTGTAGTAGAAATGTAGAATATATTTTGCACATTCAATTTGATACAACGATTTCCTCTCTGACCATAATCAGTTTTCAAAACATATATTTGTAAGTATTTACATAATATTACCATTGCCATTTAAGTCAGCAATTTGCATATATATTTTTGTAAGTGTGTGGCCAGAAGTACGCCATAAATGTTATTGTTCCCGGAACGGCTTCTCTCCACCAGCAGCAAGTACATTTTGGACAAAAAGGCAATTTGTCACAATCACAATTATTACACACACAAAATGAAAGACATTTGAAAACCAAGCAGCTGGAAAACAAGCCAAGACAGCTCCAGGGCCTACTAAATAGGGATTTTGGGGGTGAGGTTTCTGTTCTGACAAGTCCTAACGATGTTAGTGACCATGCACAATGATGCAGCAAACATGCTCCAAATGTATATATATATATATATTTGCAGGATAGGAAAGGACACCTGGAGTTGACACAAAACGTTATTCTGCCACATTTTGTCATAATTTTTAGTTAATTTCAAAAATGCAAATCATCGATGCCAGGCAACCGGCTCACGCACAGTACGGGCTTTTGTTCTTGTGCATTCTGCTCCCGGTCCTGGTTTTGGTCGAGTGTCAGCTTTTTGACAAATTTTGGCATCATTGCTCATTGGATGCACGCTCGTTAAAACTATGCAATATTTCATGGGCCGTTTCGTGTTGAATTTCCATTTTGTTACTGCTAGCATATTCAAATTGTTGCCACCGGGCTTCCGTAGTGGTCCTTGATGCTTACGGACAAGTTTTCTCTTTGGTTGGCTTGCAGAAAAGTTATTGGTGCTTTGTTTTTCGGCCATGAGCATACAAAGTTCCGTTCTAGCCTTTTGGAGTTGAGTGAACATATTTTTCAGAGTTCTATTAACTGTTGTTCCCTTATTGATGTTTGTCAGGATGTGGGAAATGTTCAAACTGTTTCAAGATGGTCTTGATTAAAGTGCTGCTATCGATATTGGTGTCGAAGGTGCTCAGAGGACGTCTCCTTAACCAACCACTCTTGGCCAAAATATTGGTACTTTGCTGTTTTTCAATAAAATCAGATTTAACTGTTAAGGGTAATTCTATAGATAATGAATAATAAACATCTCATAGTCAGCTCATCTTTAATATATTAAATATATATATTAATTAAAACTGTGTATTTTAGTTGTAATTTAAGAAAATATGTACAATTATTTTGTGAGAATTATATTGTTTGAGCTATAAAATCAGAAATATTTTCAACTCATCATTTGACTAAAAAACAATCGGAAATTTGAAAGAAACAAATATTTAAGCTCGCAATGAGTAAGCTGTTGATATGCGCTGGAAGCTTTAAGCTTTGGACATTGTTGTTGTGTTGTCGTTGATCAAAGCCGGTTTTGGTAAGATGTCTTGTTGCATTTTGCATAAAGTTTTTAACACAATTTGCCTCGTTGGATATGATGGGGCAACAAAAAGGCAATGACAACAACACAAACTGGTCGATCAGCGCAGCACATTTAAAAAGTATTTTCCACAAGCTCAAAGCGAACAGTTGGCTTTGAGACGGTGACGCGTGCGCACAACGGAAAACGGAACGGTAAATAGTGCAGCTTTGAAGTGAAACGAGCGGAATTGAAACGGTGTTAAGTGCCAGGCATTATCGAAAAAAAATGAGATTAAATATTGTAAAATTGATGCAAGTGAAAAGTGACATTTTAATTGAGTGAAGTCTTTCAACATACTTGTGTATTTAAATATTGAAATACTTCTCTTTGCCCACAGGTACAACTGTTAATAATTACAAAATGGCGGCTATGAAAATTTGCATATTCGCGCTGCTTGTGGGTAAGTGGAAAACACTTAATTGCATATGCCAATTAGTGAATTGGTATCAGACATCAACATAATGAACAATTTTATTCAAATATTCGGTTGAGATCGCCATCAATTTGCCTTGAATTGAGTACCAGCTGAAACTGTACAGCGGCAAATGCATTTTAATAGCTCCGAATACATTTTAACTCATAATTCAACTGCAAAATTCAACTGTCGACAACAGAATTTAAGCAATATGATTGGTTTTCATGCTTGTGTTCATTTACGCGTAATATATTAAATTGAACAGACATATGTGGACAGCAAATAAATGAATATGTTACAACACATTTACTTTATTTTAATTCACATCTGACTAATGTCGTTTTTGCTTTTGCTTTTGCTGTTGCTGTTTAACAGTTTCCACAGACAGAAATTCAGGCATTTTAGTCACCATATGCCTGGTGTGGCAGCTCATTAAATATTGGTTGCCGCCCACAATGGCCAAATACGACCTTTTCAGCGGCAACACACATTTAAAATTGTATTTTGTTAATTGTCTTGTTTAATTGATATGCAAGCAACTGTTGCATATGTGGGTGTTAAACATATTTTGTAATCATGTTAAAATAACCATGAACATTATTGGCAATTGTTTGCGACCCACCCAAAATGAAATGTGCAAATAATTTGGCGAATGTGGAAATATTATTGTATAATTATTGCAGAATGGCAACTAGCTGGTAAAATTAGAATAACGTGACAATAATAACAGAAAAGAATAAATATGCAAAATAAATAAATACAAATTTTATTGGGCATCTATGCATTTGAAAATTTTGATTAGCATATTTATATATGTATGTGTATTACTTGTATAAATTTGAAAAATAAAATAAACCTTTTGAGCGCAGTCTAGACAATTTCAATGCGCTCCATTAATTTACCTAACAGTTGAATGAGCGACTTGAAAAAGTGTTTGCAACTTGTTTATTTTTAATCTTGTTAATGTTCAATGAACTTAACACGCATGTTTCACGCACATTTATTTCTGCGATGACAGCCACAACACCCACAAAAACTTGCTGACTCGAATTCATTTCGACGAAAGCGCAAAAAAACGTTGGTTTTCTTTTTTTTTTTTTGTGAAATTTCAACACGGTGACAGGCAAAGGCACTCAATTAATCTAGTTTAACCGGACTGGCAGCCAAGAGTCAAAGGGGCCGGGACCGAGGCGACAGTGGTCGGAAAGCGGTATTCTATGCCAAACTTGTTGATAAACTGTCAGATCGACGTTTGTATCACGTAAAAAACTCAAACCGCAAAGCCGACAACTAAGCGACTCTGCATGATGGCAAAAAAAAAAAAAAACGCACATGCAAAGCTACATTTGAAGAGCAAACTACAGGCTAAAAGTATATAGCCGAAAAAAAGCTAAAAAGATGTCGCCTAGTTGCTGACAAATTTGATGGCATCCGAACGCAGCTAGCGCAGCTAGAGTATAGCCAAAATCAACTACGAAAGTCATCGCGACTTTTCTGCTTATTTGGTTTTGTTTTTCTTTTCTTTTTTCTTCTTTTTTTTTTGACCAAGTCGTCTACGAAACGTGTTTCAATGACAAGCCGCAACAGCAGCAACAACAACAACAACAACTTGTTTCTAGTTGCCTGACACTTTACGCACTAATTGCTCGGTGGAATTGTTTCTTTATTATCGTTTAATCGAATGTCAGACAGCCGCATTCACAATCACCCCCCCCGTCCAGCAGAAAGCCACTTGTCGACATTATTGTGTGCTGTGTGTTGTGTGTCGACTTCAAATTGAATTGAATTCGCCATTTCTTGCAATTGTTTGCCTTGGTCGTGTGCTGTTGTTTTCTTTTTTTTTCGCCATGTTGCTGATTGAAGTGGTTTACCTTGAAGTGCATATTGTTGCTCATTCTGTGTCGGAAGCGGATGACTGACTCTGCATTGCTGTTGATTGAACTGTGTGAACCAGTCGCACCCATGGACACTCTTTGCCTTGGCTTTGTATCTGTATTTGGTGGAAAAACAGCTGATGTCACTTGGGAAACAGCTGTTTTTGTGAATATTGATTGAAACATGCTGAGGTGATCAACGCAACTTTCACTTTTAAGGTCGCCCAGCCAATTTGCCTATGTCGCAATCCAGTCAGTCCATAAGACATACTCAATCGGCATATATTAAGTTGGTATAACTGGTTTCAAGCGTCTGAAAATGAAACAAATATAAATAATTAACGCATACACTTAACAAAATTATGGTTGTAGTAACCGGCCGGCATTAAAGCAAATGAAAACAAAAGATAAACCTTAAGTGATTTTAACTTTAACACATTTAAATTATTAAAATGTGTAAATATTGAGCGTACTTAAAATATTAATACATTTTTGAGGATAAGCTCTATTAATACCTGTTCATTGTGTTAAATCAATTGACGCAGATTAAACGATAAGAGCAAAAGGTAAATACTCAATTCATAGCAAAAAAAATATTAGAAAAAATGTTAAATGTAAATAGTGTGAACAATGAAATTTATCAGTATCATAATTAAATTATTCACGTTAGATATAATATTTATCGGTTTTGATATTATTTATTCAGCTAGGGTATGTAAATAAATTAATAAACACATGAGTAAATAAACTTATAAATGTTTTTTCGTACAAAAATCGATATTTATTGATATTTACAGGCAAAACTAGCTTATTGTAAAATGGTACTATAATATATAGGTTAAGACTCTTTATATACTTGAAGAATTTTATACTTAATATTTTGTATATATCTCCTCTTTCTTTTTGCATAGGGACAACTCTTGCTCAGCGCAGTAATTTCCGTGTTGGTGCTGGTCATCCGCCATCCCAGCGCCACTTGCCACCAAGGACGCGTGATCCCGTCCAGGAGGCGGCAGTGGAGCCCAAGCGGAAACAGGCACAGGCAGCAGCCGCGTACGAAGCCACCGAGGAGTGCCCGGAACCAAATGGCTTCTATCCGGATGGCAAGCAGTGCGACAAATACTATGCGTGCCTGTAAGTTGCATAGTTGCATATGTGCATGATTATTAAATTGGAATATTTGATGTTTATGTACGATAAAGTTACATTTATTAAATCACGTCTTCATATACACAAGTAAATAGCTATTTATCCTTGGCAGCAGGCAGCAGGCAGCTGATTTGAACATCCAGTTGAGAACACCTAGGGGATTCGATTTGCTTCCTGTGGCCAATGATGTGTATAAATGCGCTGTGCTTATCTTTCGCACCATTGGGCCCCCAAGTGAGCGTAATCAATAATTCAGCTGTTCTACGAAAGTGTTAAAATGTGACTGAATCCAGTTGACGTGTTAACACTTTTGGGATATTCAAATTAAATGCGCACATACACTGGCTTAAATATTGTAAACACGGATGTACTCTGTTGCCAGGATTACTCTTATAAAAATATACTTGCATTTTTATTTGGTTAGTTTGTTTTTGGCTCACTGGCTATAACTTGATTGGTTTATTTAATTACAGGGATGGTGTGCCGACGGAAAGGCTGTGTGCGGACGGAATGGTCTTCAATGATTACACACCCATTGAGGAGAAATGTGATTTGCCGTATAACATTGATTGCACCAAGCGCTCCAAGCTGCGTGAGTATGAAACCAAAGTTCTGTGTTTTTTTTTTGTTTGTTTCTGTTTTTTTTTTTCAAAATTGTTTTCAGTATGCAGAGCGTGTTGTTCAGCGGCAAACGCGATGAGGAATCCCACGCTTTGGGCCGTATTTAAACCTGACCAAAATAAGTCCAATAAACGCGATCCGTGCACGCACTTATTTGCTCGTTACTCGTACAGTTGCTTTAAAAATTCAAGAAAACAAGAAAACACATGAAAACCAGAGTTATTTAATATGCAAACGGCATAGCCTCTGAGGTGGTTAACCCAAATTGTTGTCGTCAATAGGTCTTTGTGGTCTTGGTTGGAGTTAGAGCTGGGATTTGTTTTGGTGCTTCAGTTTTATTTTATCTATTTCTTGGTAGACTTGCTTTATTTGTGATTTTATTATTTTATTTTGTCACGCTCCGTATGGCTTTATGTGGACCCGACACGTGGTCTTCAAGTGCTCTGCCATCTTCCGCATGACAGCTGAAAAATTGACGTCAGTCCTAATGCTAATTGGCATGGTATTGCAATCAAAGTAAAGAGGCTTAAATGTTAGTGCATTTACAGTTTTCAATTTCCAATTGTGCAATTACGGAACCATTCCTTGAACTCCATTATATTCTCATCAAATATGCAAATATCACGTGGAATTGTATTTGGTCCAATTAAAACTGGGTTCCTATTGCATTGTCTGTGTGTCTGGTTAATATTCTTTCTTTTTTGTGTCAGGCACTCTAAATAATCTATTTTAGTCTAACCAAGTGTCCAGCCTTCCAGTTCTAAGATACTTTTATGCACATATATGCACTCTGTTGGCCATTTTGTAGTACTTTGCATTGTTGCCAAACTGTTGTGGCAATAAACTTCTCCTCTAGAGCATAAAAAAGTCTTGGCTCGGAATGTGCCTGGGACACAGCAAACTGGACTAAGAAATAAACCACAAACGAGGTCTCGTAGAAATTGCAGTAGTTTTGAAATAAAGCACATTGCAACAACTGCAAAATAATGGAAATTTTAACCAAAAAGGTTTCAACTTTGGATATAGAATTCAGATATTCAAAATATACATTTCATACAAAAAAGAATTACATGTGCATTTGCTGCCTTGTTATTGTTATTCATTCCTGGCATGAAAATATATTTTATGCAGTTTTTCTGATCTAAGCTTGTTTGAGATATGCATAGTCTTGTTAATTAATTCAAGGGCTATATTCTGAATATAGAAAGAGAGAGACTTTTGAATTTATGAGCCAAGCTCACCCCAATGATTTTTATAAATTTAAGTTCGTTAAGAGTGTTTAAAATTTACAAAAAATAAATGGCACTGAAATATGTTGGTAAATAAAAGAACTAACTAGGTAAATGCATATTATATGTCTTATTTTTATAAATAATATACATATTTATTTATTTATATGTATTCAAAAGTTAAATTTTCAATTTAAGAGCAGAGCTCACTAAACTAACTGCTGACTAGGCTAAGAAAGACTTTATTGCATATTGTAATTCAATTCATTTAATTATTAAATTAACTACATTTAAATAAAATGTCCGCAGAAACTCCACAACCATCGCAGCACTGTCCAAGGAAGAACGGTTACTTTGGCCATGAGAAGCCCGGTATATGCGACAAGTTTTATTTCTGCGTCGATGGACAATTCAACATGATCACGTGTCCTGGTGGCCTTGTCTTCAATCCCAAAACGGGCATCTGTACGTGGCCCGATGAGGTTGGCGTCACTGGCTGCAAATCGGAGGACATCTTCGAGTTTGAGTGCCCCAAGGTGAACGAGAGCATTGCCGTCACACATCCACGCTACGCGGATCCCGACGACTGTCAGTTCTTCTATGTGTGTGTAAATGGCGATCTGCCCCGTCGCAATGGCTGTAAACTTGGCCAGGTGTTCGACGATGATAACAAAATGTGCAATTGGGCACGCTTTGTGCCGGATTGGTAAGTTTAATAAGCGCACAAAATGCAAAAACAACATATTGAAATTGCGATTTGATATTTTTTTTAGTGCTGACTGGTATAAGGATCGCTTTAGCGATGCCGAGCTGTATGATCTGGAGAATCCTAAGCCAAAGTCAACGACCACCAAAAGGCCAGCACGAGTGCGTGGCGCCTCCAGACGTCGGCCGCAGTCGAAGGTGGTCAAAGAGGAGGAGCCCGAGGAGGAGTAGCAGGTGGAGTAGCTGGCTAAAGTGTCGACTGTTTAGTTGTAAGTTTGTCATTCCTGATTACGAATAAACAGACCTTTTCTGCATACTTTCCAAGTTGACATTCTATTGTTAAAGGCCTTTTCTGCATATGTTCTAAGCTGAAATTTAATTGTCAAAGGACCTTTTAATTTTCTGCATTCAACTGTTGAGCTGAGTATTTATTTATGTGCTAAGCACTTAAGCTTATTTTACAAACTGCATAAATATTCTTTATTAGCCATGCAACAATGCCAAGAAATATGTTCCAATCTGTTTCCAACCCTGCCAACGTTTAGGTCAACAACACGCAACCCATATGCGTTCAGATTCTCTGAACACAATACTAGATGCTGCCAGAATAACATAATTTGAATGCGCAACCAGACGACAGCATGGAGAATTCCATTCAAAAGGGATTTCCCCCCTTTACTTGCCATACTTCTTCAAAACAAAATCAATGCATATATTTCTTTCCATTTCTCTCGCGCATAATTCAATTTGCCGTTGAGCATGCACAAAAGTATGCAACAGAATAGCAACAGCTCGACACTCACAGACACACACACACTAACACACGCACACACACACACTCACACACACTCACACACAGACACCATAAAGTTTTGGACATGTGTATGACGTTTGGCAGATAAGGAACATTCGATAAAACGTATCGAAATTGCATTGTGAAAATTGTGAGCAGTTGAGAGACGAGATTTACAGTAGCCATTACCAGGACGCATAAGAGTTGGGTGTGAGTCTGTTTATGGTTTATGTGGAGCGGGAGCAGGCTGGGGTGGAGGCGGAGGTGTACTCGTAAATTGCAATGCTTAAGTGGCAACGTAAAATCTCCGACAACGATGAGATATTTCACTTGGCTTGTGCCGGGGCATTTGTTTACGCATTGCATGGAAAGACAATTGGCATTGGTAAGAGGATAAATTGATGTCAATAAAAGCATATTGAATTTGAGTTAATTCGATCAAAGTAACCAGTTGAACACTTTGGGACTTCAAGAAAACAACTTTATACGCAATCTATCATCTGCCGAAGCACAAAGAGAGACCTTTATTTACGCATTTGAATTTGGGTTTGTTGTTGTTCAGCATTTAGTTGCGTGAGTGAGCTTTAATTAGAATGTGGACAAATTGACTGCCTTCAATGCCTTATAAATTTAACTTCGGATTGAAATTGGATGCGATTTTTTTTAGAGTGGAGTTTGCATCTATTCGAAATATTCTGCCAAACATTAACTAAAACTAGTATGAACAGATATATTAATCCTGGAGTCCAATATATATTTCACAATGCGAGCATTGTTACTTGTTTACTTTATATCTCACAGAGACACAGCTATGCTAGACAAGTAAACTAACTTAGAAAATAGTAAACAAAATTATTTTTGAAAACAAATCAACGCAAGCCGACACCTGTGTAAGTTCGCAGTTTTTTGAAAGGTAGGCTTGTTCTGTTTTATTAACCCACTATGCCCCATTAACAATGTGTATATATCAACACAATCAGCCGCTTCACTTAATGCCTAACTTTATATTTACCCACGTACAAACCAAACAAATTTAACCCAAGCATCAGAGCGTGCTATTGTCCAACCATGGATAAGGGCCTCAACCAAAGCAGTGCGTGTTTTGTATCTTTGTTTGGCGTTAATCAACAACTCAATTCAACTCAACTCAACTCTACTCAACTCAAGTTGAGACGACTCCACCCAATGGCGACTTATGACGCCGTTACTGGCGCACGGCCACGTCCAGCACAAGGGGCGTGGGCAACCTGTTAGCCCGTAGGCTTCTAATTAATCAAGTCATTCTGGCAGCCAGCAGTCGCCATACTGAACAAACTGGCGTCATGCTGTCAATAATTTGGCACGACCTGTGACACGCTCAACATTGGCTCCCCATCCATTTCCTCGTTCACGCCAGAGCACCTGCTGCTGCGGTGCCATCTAAAAGGCATTTCGTCGAACTCAGCGCCTACTTAATCAACTGTAACATGGACATGTCCGAGCACACCTGTCACCTGGCAGATTACGCCGGGGCATTCCCGTCTTCCCAAGTCGCTGCCTGCCAGGACTAGAGTTGAGCGCGTGTCCGTGCAACACGCCACAAGTAACCGAAACAGTATTAAAATTTAACCAACACAACGCGCACGACTTTAAAATATAACATTTTGATATCTTTTACCATTTCATATCATTTTTAATTTTACGATTTTACTTATTATTATTATACTACTTATCCAATTGAGTTGTAAGTTCTATAAATTTGCAGCATTTTATAGCTGCTTCTTCGGTTCTATAAGCCTTTTCGGCCTAATTTACAATATATGCACAATTATTTTATATATTGATATTTATTTTAAATTTTACGTTTTAGCTCAAGCATCATCTATGCTTAATCAAACCAACAATGATAAGAACTCATAATAAATACTCCAATAAAACATGTTATTTATATCTTTCTTATGTATAATTTTAATGCCAAAATTATACATTTTGTTGAGACACGAAATTGGCTTAAGATCACGACCATGTCACGAAAGAAACATGAAAATTGTGCAACTCTTGTTTACAAACTTGAAACTGGACCGTGAAAACATACACAGAGGAAGAGTAGATAGATATATATATATATAGAGAGAGAGAGAGATATAGTGGAAGAGCCTCTTGGTGCTCGTATTAAATGTCCAATTTGACACAAACAAGTGTTTACATAATGACAACAACAATTTGCGTAATTGTCACAGACAACAGCCACGCAGTTTAAATAGTTGCCCTCAACTGGTCCTGAGTCCTTATAGAGCGTCACTAGGCAACCTCTTAAATGGCGACGCATTTTCTTTGTGTGGGGAAAAAGCAGTATAATGGTTTTGGGCAAATATGTGTAATAGGGAGAATGACGTATCTCCGACATCATATATATATCAGGGTCTGTCTGTATGACCATCACGGCTATAGACTGCAATATAATATTTGGCAAATAATAACAGAACCAGCTTGCTTCATTTGATCGATATATAGATTTCTCATAACAGTGACTTGCAGAAGACCTGAAGACCTGCAGACCTGCTCACATTTGATTTCACAAAACTTTTAATAGGAAATTTGGCAATAAAACTATAATATATTAAACAGCTGGGCTCAGGGTATATGGCAGTCGAGCTCACTCGACTACAGCGCTCTAAGTTGTTTTTTGTTTTTGTAATCTTATTTATCATATTACGTAATTAGTTTGCTAGCGTGAGTTGACTAATTGATGATAATGACCAAAGTGGGGGATGACTTCAGTTCAGCATGATACAAAAGTTAAGCATTTGGTAAGTGCTTGCACTAAAACATTGAAGTGAACTGCGTAGAACTTCACCAGTCACACTAATTTTATCTGATGTGCAGTTTATTTTCGAGAATTTCATCCTTAACCGTTTTTTTTTTTATGTAAAGCAAGCCAGAGTGTAACTCTTAGTTTGTCTTAAGGATGAGCTATTGTGTTTTTGTCAAAGATTGGGTCACACATATCTCAAAGAAGTCGGTCAATCTATCGTACTAAAAGAGCTGTATTATAAATAGAGTTTCGTTGATAATCATCTACTCTCATCTACTGTGTCATCTCATCATCATTATGCATCTGCGGGTTGTCTCCCATTCTCATTTAATCTCCTATGCATAATTTTGTCTTCATAATATATATATATATATACATGTATATTTATACGAAAGACGCTGACTTTTTTCTGTAAGATTTCACGAATCCGAGAAGTGTGAGAATAATTTTTATCCGAAAAAAATGTGACATGGTGTGTTTGGTGGAATCTACTAGTTATTATTTTTAGGATACGTTAATCATAATTGACTAGAAAACACCTGAAGGATATGAGCGTACATGTACGTGTTGCAAAAAGTAGAAAAAATATATTTTTCTATATTGAAGTAAATTATTGAAGTATTTTCTATATTGAATAATTATATTACGCCGCTTTTATGTGATTGTTTATCATTTCGTGAGTTACATGCGCTTGGATGTTCAGAACCTTAGCATAACCCAAAATGTAGACATTGTTTGTCCTTGTACGAGTCCTTGCACAGAAGCATGAACATGATTAAACATGATGCTGCTGCTGGTTATGTCTAATTACTGCGTAATGTGGGCACACCCCCAAAAACAGGAGCACAAGCAAAAAAAATATATATGTATATAAAAAATTCAAGAAAAAGAATATGCCAATGCCTTATGCTGAACAAAAGTTGATTGTTTGCTCCTTGGGCTACTTGCTTTCTTGATGAAATAATTAAATGTCATTCATTGAGGTCGTTTTGCCGTCTATGCCCGGCCCGCCTATGCTGTGCAGCATCTGCTTCCTGTGTTCCTTTGCCACGGATTCTACCCCAGACTCGGCATCAGCGTCTGCCTCTGATTCAGGCTCTGCCTTTCGTAATTGTTGACCACTTGCGTATATCCTTTTTGGCTCCTTTGCTTCTGTAACTAATTTGTGCAGACGCCTTGAGGCGGTGTCCTTGCACCCAACGCTTTGATTTTAGCTACTTGCCCACCCACAATTTCGTCAGCAAGTTCATTAAACTTTTGTCAGGGCTACAAATACTGTTAGCTAATTAAGTGCTGCACACTTTCAGGCTGCCCAAGTTTAATAAACTGGCTCCAGCGATGTCACACCTGACGCATCTCGTCGCCATGCGCTCAATTTGCATATTCATAAGCGCAAAATAGGCAACAGTTGGACTTGAAATACGTTTGAATCATTTTCACAGACACTTTGTTGGCAAAGTTCTGGCGCCCTGGACATTTTTTGATTGAATGGCAGACGAGTTAAAAGTTCAGCTTGTGCAGTTTTATTTAAATTTCAATTTAAGTTGAAATTTATTACAAGTTCATAGCTTATGAATTTTGTTTTAAGTTGGTTAAATGCTCATATTTGTATATTCACTGAAAGGTTATCATGATTGTTGGACTGCTACGAGTACAAAAGAAACTTAAAATGTCATTTATATTTAAATTATTTTTTTTTTCAACATACAAATGTTTGTTTGTCTTGTAA